CTGTAATTCTGAATCCTCCTCATAGTCTCCTACATGCCTACTCAGGCCTTTTTCAGTGGTCTCAAGATCAGGCTTTCTTCTAAGGTTCCTTTCTTAGTAGAGCAGAGCTCTCTATATAGAAGGCACACAGGCCACTAGTAAGGCTCAAAGCCTTCGTCAGTGGTATAAACTGCTCTGACTCACAGAATTCAGCCATAAGTGACCTCTTCTGGTGTTTCTTGGACAGTCCATTGAACTGACCCAAGTTTGCAGGTGTTCCCCACAGTCCTCTGCAGATGAGACTCTCATCAAGATGCAAGAAACACAGTGTAGGGGTCCAGGAGCTCAACCTAAGGTTATGGGCTCTGCAGGCTTGGCTGGTGAAGGCTGTGTCCAAGCAGAGTCCCACAGCTCTGTCTTACTATTTTTGATTCTCTGGCCCAGTTGCCAGTGACATGCCCTTTGCATGGCTGTACAGTATCCCCTTCAGTGGGCATGCACTCTGAAAATTAGTTACAGTATCACTTTGAAAAATGGATTTGAAGGCATGTAATGGGATAACTCTGCATTATCCCAATAATTTTTGGGCCCTCTATTGGGCAATGAAGAAAAGAACTGGGTGCCTCTTTTAGACAGAATCTCAGATGCTGTTTTAACAATCTCATGTTAGCTGTTGTTTCAAATTTTTACCACCTAGGGGCTGAGGATTTAGCTCAGTGGCATAAGTGCCTGCCTGGCAAGCATGAGGTCATGAGTTCAATCCTTGGTACCAAAAAAAAAAAAAAAAAAAAAATTACCACCTACCTCTGTGATTAAACATTTTATTGGTTACTAGCTAAGAGGAAAATTTAAAATATTAAAATGCATTGGTGCACCATAAACTATGATAAACATGTTAACAATGCTTAAACTAAGTATCCACTTGACCACAAGGTTTCATCAACATCAGAATTAAAAACTCATTTACTTAAAAACTTCACTAAGTAGATGAAAACACAATCCTCTTGCTGAGAATGTATTTGTAACAAGGACAACAACATAAAGAACCAATACCCAGAGTAGATAAAGAATGCCTAAAAACTGATAAGGCTGGAGGTCAGATCCTTGGAATTCTTGTTGATAGTTGCAAATTTATTTTGACTGACATCACCTCATGGATGTTTTATAAAAAATGTTTGACTTTTAAGCATGAGTTTGACTTTTTAAGATTCCACATATATTTTATATCTATGAGTGGCTTATTTTACTCAATCCAATGTCCTTCTACTGTTTCTTTGCTTATGTCATTCAATATAATGCCCTTCCACTGTTTCTTTGCTAAGAATTCCCTTTCTCAAGTATCCTCTTTCTCTCTTTTTTTTTTTCATTTTTAAAAATTTTTATTTAAAGAGAAAAAAATGCAAAACAGAATAAAGGGTAGTAATAATATAGAATTTTAAAAAAACAGTAAGAAATCACTAGTTGATAAATTACATACTGTCATCTTAGAAAGTTATTCAAGTTACAAAATTAAAGCATACAAAGTGGACATTCAAACAGTGAGACTGTAAACAGTTCTGCTCAACGATCCAACAGAAACTTAGTAATATAGTCATCTATCTTACACACTTAAACATACATGCAGTTATATCCTCTTTTCCTCTCTTTTTACAATAGCAATTACACATTTTGGGTTTTATTACTCCTACAGTTCTTATTACTTTTTACACTAGAGACACAATGTGATGTGTATAAATATGATTATTTATTTCACTTATGAGGATAGTCTCAAGTTGCCTCCATTTACTTATGAAGGCCTCAAAATCATCCTTTTTTATAACTGAGTAATATCCCATTTTATTAAAATACCACATCTTTTTCATCCATTCTGCAATTGATGGGCATTTTGGTTGTTTCCAAAATTTAGCTATTACAAATTGTGCTGCTACCTCTTTCTCTTAAAAATCCCATGTTTACTTGTGTATCATTTCCATTCCCAAGATGGCAAGCATATCATGTTTTTTTATTCACAAAATGCCTTTTCATAACAAAACTTTATAGTTTATATATCTTGCCTCTCCTATTTACCTTTTAAAAATTAAGACATTGTAAATAATACATGAATGCACATTTGTTATAAAACATCCAAATACTTGCACATGGAGCTCAGAATCACCAATCTCAATGTCTTCCTCTCCAGAAGTCATTGCTGCAGTTAGAAATGAGTCCTTGAAGATCTTCTCATTAGATTCATTTTACCTGTACTGCTGCCCGGACACCTGTACAGTTTCTAACAAATGCAACCATACTGTTGAGTACTGTTAATGCTGTTCTGCAACTTCTTTTTCACTCAGCAGTGGCGAGATTTTTCTTCCAGTATTAACAGATCCTTATTCTGTATTATTGAGAAAGACTTTGTACTGTTGAATTTAACTTTCTATTGATGGAGATCCAATTTTCACTGCTCTAAACAATGATGGGATAATCATCTTTGGACATGTTTTTCACAAACGATGGTGATCTCTAGAGCAGTGATCATGAACCTGTGGCATGTGTGTTGCAGCAAACTGTCACTGAAAGCCCTAAAAGGTTTGCTATCCCTGCTCCAGGATGTGTGAAAACCGAGATTCTGTCTCCTAATTGGATTACTTTCACCATCATGGCACAGCGATTTTTTTTGAAACAGGGTCTACTATGTAGTTTCGGCTGATCTTGATTCACTATGTAGCCTAGGCTGGCCTCAGCTCACAGCGATCCTCCTGCCTCAGCACACAGTGCTCTGTCCATAGGAATTTTTGTTGTAATCACCAACCTCCACTTTGTTTTCTTGTCCTCCCCACTCCGAGGCTGTCAGCAATGTTTTGGTAACGACACACTGCTTCCTCTTCCTCTTCACTTTTTTTTGGGTCTTTTTGAGATGGAGTCTCGCTATGCAGTTCAGGCCTTGAGCTCACTTTGTAGCCCAGGTTAGACTCAAACTTGTAATGGTTCTCCTGCCTCAGCCTCCTGAGTGCTGGGGTTACAGGTGTGTGCCACCATGCCCGGCAATGACACTGCTTCTTTCCTGGAATACTCTATTCTCTGGTCACCCATAAATCTCCTTTGGTCATTCCTACTCTACTCAATCTCTAAATATTGGGAGTTTTTCAGCCTGTCTTGAGCTCCCTTCAGTCCAGGTTCTTTTCCCAGATGTCCTTATATATTCCTAAGTGCCATCTATATGACAGTGTCTTCCAAATCCCTGTCCCAGTCCACTCTCATCATTGAGCTCTAGTCTCGTACCCAACAGCCTGCATAGCATCTTTACTTGAACGTACACCTTAGAAGCATCTACGGGAACTTACCTAGAAGAGATGGATGGACTCCCAGTTACCACCCCCTGCTTGCTCCAGTCCCCTCATGACAAGCTACCCCAACCACCCAGGTGTTTTAAGCCAGAAACAAGAGATTCATTCTTGTGTTTTGATTCAAATCTGCATTCTTTGTTCCATCTCTGCCACTTTCCCACTGCCCTTGTAATCACTGCCATCATCCTAGTTGCCCTAGGTAACTGTAAAAATCTAACTGGTTTTCTACACCTGCTAAATGAGCTCCTAGTATCAAAGCCATGTTCACTCCTTGGTTTACCCCCAATGACTTCCCACCACTTCTGGAACGGGGAAGGACTTGGATGACTGAGCCCTGCATGCTGCCCAGCTTTTCCTATGGTTCTGTCTCAAACTCTTTTTCAGCTCAAGGGTCTTTGCGTTCTTTGTTCTCACCTGGAAAGCTGACTCCTTGGCTCACAGCAGGTCACGGTCACCTCACTGAACCCTACAACCACCCAACCCAAAGCAGGTCTCATGTGCAATTACTGTGCCTGGCCCTCTGGTTACTTTTGCCTCAGGATACGCTGGCATCCATCATTCACTAATTTGCTTTTTCTCCTGGAATGTAAACTGCATTACGAGGACAAAAGTATCTCACTCACAGCTGTATCACAGGGTGGGATAGTGCTTGGTGCATCAAAGGCAGTCAGTCTGTACTTTTTTTTTTTTTTAAATTTTTTTTCCCTTTTTATCAGTACCAGGGATCGAACTCACGACTGCCTGCTTGCAAGGCAGGTGCTTATGCCGCTGAGCTAAACCTCCAGCCCCGAGTCTGTAGTATTGAGACTAATTCATCACCCTGAATTTAAATCAGGTAAGAAACACAGGTGCCTGTCATTCCCCAGCTTCTCCATTGCTAGCTGTGATGCTGGTGGAACTTCTTAAACCCCCTGTGTCCTCACTGGTATATGAGGTTCACAGTACTTAAGGACTGTTACAGATTAAATAGCATGATGCCTAGTATATAATGTTAAGATTTTCATTATTAAACAAGTTCTGTGAAGGAGTCCTTTGCTGTGTCCTAAAGGACACAAGAAGCAATCTTCCAATAACTATTTCCACATATTTACTGTTCAGGCTGGAACTTCACCTGGCTTATAAAAACTACACTTTAAGGGGCTGGGGATTTAGCTCAGCTGCACAAATGCCTGCTTGGTAATGGTCGAGAGTTTGATCCCTGGTACATCCCAAAACAAACAAACAACCTCCAAAAATTACACTTCCCCCAAACATTAATTCTGGGTTACATCCCTTGTGAATGGACCACGGACAACTTCTTACTGATACAAGTGGATGCTGCCATCATTTGGGAAATTAGCAGCTGGTGTGGCTTTTGGCACAGGAATCTTATAAGTAGGCAAACAATTCCATCATGAGTAGACATCAATGATGGTCTTTATCGATTATGTCTATAGTGAATGAATTTACCTGCTAAAAGAAAGTTTTATCTTACCCATTCATAAAGGGTTTACATTGTTTTTCCATGTACTACCCTATTACCTGCATTGCCTGTAACAAGAAACTTTTCTATAATTCAGATAGTAATAATTTTTAACTATCTTGTGACAATCAATGGCAACAAGGTTACTCAAATGTTAAAGAATATGTAAAAATAATTAGGACAATAAATAGACTTTTCTCGTTTATTTTGAAAGTTATTCAGACACCAGACAGTTTTAAAAAGGGTAGAATTAGTATTTTATTGTAATTTATAATCAGATGGCAGTTGGGTATATAGTTTCCATACTTCATACTTTTTGTAAATAAAAAAAATTAAAAGTTTTAAACAGCTGATCGCTGGTTCTATTCTTCAGAAAACACAATTAGACTAACTCATTAATGGTGGCTTCAAGCTTTTCCTTGTTAGCGCCAGAAAACTCACTCACCTGTTCAAGAGAAAATTGAATTGGTATTAGATTTAGCATTGAACCATTTTTTTAAAACAGGCTCACAAAATAGGAGGAAAGAGAAAGCATCATCTTTTTAAAAATAAACTTCCTAGATTATCGCGCATTAAATTAAAAAACTGAAAAATCTTTGAGAAAAGTCAAGTCTCAAGTATAATTTTAAAAAAATTATCACAACTATTTCTTTACAATGTTAAATGACCTATGCAAGTCTGAGAAATCTTATATATTTAAACATGAAACATCAATCACATGGACTTGGACTTAATGTCTAGTTCTAAAAAACAAGTGTTCTTTCTTTCTTCTGGTTTTTTTTTTTTTTTTTTTGGAGACAGGGTCAGGCTGCTGACCTTGAACTCCCTATAGCCTAGTTGGTCTTGAACTCACAGCATTCCTCCTACCTCAGCAGGGTGTTACAGGTGTGCTACCACGCTCAGTTCAAAGATCGGTTTTCAAGTAGGTATTACACTACGTGCTTCAAAATCAACAACAACAAAAATGACACATTCAACTTTTTTTTGCACTTCAGATACTGAACCCAGGGCCTCTGCACCGAGCTACATCTCCAGTCCCTTTTATATTTTGAGACAGGGTCTCACTAAGTTGCCCAGGCTAGGCTAGAACTTGTGACTCTCCTGTTTCAGTCTCCCAGAGTGCAGGTACTACTATACCTGCTAGAAATATTCTTGAACACAGAAAATGGTAACATGCTTAATACTGTGAGAAAACAACCGATTCAACTATCTTCATTTACATATGCTAAGTTCTTCTTTTGCCCAGTTAACGTTCTTAAAAGGTCAGACGCACGTACCTTTTTACCCTTTTTAAAAAACTGGAAGGTTGGCATACATTTGACTTCACATTCTGCAGCGACATCCTGGGGAGAGCAGCACAGGGGAACTAAGCTTTAATGGAGTAGTCCAATAGCATATGTGGTTTAATTCAGTTTTTGACTGTTTGCTTTTGTTTTCTGGAGATAGTGTCTCACTATAGTTCAGACTGGCTTTGTATTGGCAGTGAACCCCCTGCCTCAGCTAGGGTTACAGGCCTGTCCCACCACACCAGGCTGTTATCTTAAAGAAGCAATAACTTCAGCTACCACATGGATTTGGGATTTTATGTTCACCTTCACACTTCCTCAGAACAGCAGTTCTTGCTTGCAAGATTTCTAGTGTCATTATGAGATGGCATTCACGGGTGATTACAGAAGGCTGGACATTTAACCACTACTTTTTTTTATGGTATCGGGGATGGAACTCATGACCTCGCGCTTGCCAGGCAGGCACTTATGCTGCTGAGCTAAATCCCAGGCCCTAATCACAACTTCTTAATCAAAGTGCTACCCTGAAACCTTAGCAGCGCAAAACATAGTCACAAGTCAGCATAAGTGACGGAGCTTTATTATGCTGTCAGATTTGGGGCATCTTGTGTCCAGCAGAGATGACTATTCCATCTGAGCAATTTTCAAGAAAATTGCAAGTATATCATAGAAACCAGGAAAAGGTGCTCAGAGCAATGCTAATGTTTTGAGCAAGGTGACAGGATTCTATACCATAATTTAACGCCCCACACTGGACTTCTATGTTATTTCCAATATGTGTACATCCTTGTGTTTTTTCTTGGGGGGGGGGTGGTTAGGGGGAGATACCAGGAATCCAACTCACACTTGCCATGCAGGTGCTGTGCCTGAATAAATTCTGACATATCACTAGGGCAAAAACTGGAGAGTAGAATTTCTGAGCTCTAGATGACTTACATACTTTTCTTTCTAAAACTCATGCATTATGCACTGTGATATACAATGTATGTGTAATGGACCTTTGCCCACGAAAAATACATGTACGCATTTTTACCCTCCCACAGCAACATTTTAGCAACCCATTCAGTGTCTAAATGGCTTTGGTTTTTACCACTGTCATTTTCAACCTTCATATACAAATGTTGCTATACATTGGCTCATTACCCCCCATCAACCCTGGAAGAGGAAGTGCTGAAAAAGTACGTTTATTTTAAAGTCTCTGATATGTACTATGCAATTCCTTTCCAAGTAACTTCCGTTCGTTTATGATTATTCATCGTGATTTTTGAAGACTGGTATGCAATCACATTCCTAAGGTACCCCCTATCCCACCTACAAAAGCACAAGCTTTATAGATTTTGCTGTGACCCAACTTTCCTAGGCCATTTCCTCAACAGTCAGATAGAAACAAGTGTTTACAAGATATGAGATAAGATGGGGGGGGGGTGTACAATGCCCATCACGCTCATATGTTGAATATTTTCTAGGCTTTTATTTTTTTTTTTTTTTTGGAGTTGAACTCAGGACCTTGCATTTGCCAGACAGGCAGTTGTGTTGCTGAGCTATATCCTCGGCCTTTTCCTAGGCTTTTTATCTTTATATTCCTTTTAAATTTATTTGGAAATAAAGAATGATGCAGAGATGCAAATTTTAATCAAGTGATACATTGTTAATTTGACTAAATAGAGTTGGCTATATTTTTCTGCACTGCTGCTTTGTTTTTTGAGACACGGCCTTGTTATTCAGTTTAGGCTGGCCTCGAACACCTGGTGACCCTCCTGCCTCAGACTCCGGATTACAGGTGTGCACTACTACGACCAGGAACACAGTATTCTCGTCTACTACAACATTTTACCTCACCTTGTAGAGTTTGACAGCTTTGCACCCAATCTAAAATTTTGATTAGAAAATAGAGGACTATATTTACCTTAAAAAATTTAAACTTATTGGCTTCTAGGTTAAAGCTCCATAGAGACAAAATAAATTTAAGCATGCTTTTTCTACTTCTACTATCAACTCACTCCTGATTCTTCTAATCAAAACTGAAACACAAGGCATTTCCAAAGGCTGCAAAATACTCCAGTCTAAAAATCACATTGTTTCTTGTTTTCATTTACAAGATAAATATATACTCTTGCCTGCCAATTATGTTCAGTCTATCGTTTTCCCTGTGCTCATACTTTTCCACAAATACAACATTACTTTTACACATGAGGGCCTGTAACTGTCCATTTGAACCTATGATGCCTATAAGATAATTTCTTCCTGCTCAAGTGTTTAGGGATGCATCATATGCCAGCTCAATCTTGAGGCTGAATTCAGTCAGCACTGAAAATGTTCCTGACTTCAGATCACTTTGGATTTTAGACTAGGGATGTTCGGTTTGTATCACCATACCTGAACTTCACAGAGAACTTATTACATGCCAGACACTGCTTTAAGCACTTTGTGTCACCTCCTTCAACCAACAACTACTTTACAGAGGATGAAACTGAGGCACTAAAGAGATAAATGACTTCACCAAGCCACCACTGAGCTAGAAATAGGTGAGTGGTCTGGGTACAGAATCTGTCCCATTTCACTACCCTAAGGCAAGAGGAAAATGGGAGGCAAAGAACATTATGAGGACAAAAAAGAAAGGCAAGGCTTGCCTAGGGCAGAGTGAGGTAATGGGAGAAGGTACAGGGAACACAAGAGGTGAAAATTAACCAGGAACTAGCAGGGTAGGAGAGGAAAGAATGGACCAGAGGACAGCACAAAGCAGGAATCTTCCCAGACGGTCAAGTCAGTAAATGAGCTCAAGCAGCAGCTGGTGTTGGGCTCTGACATGCTTGGAATACCCGTTTTAAGTGACCTTCCAGCCCCGTTAGTGGGCACGCCCTGTTTACTTAGCGAACAGCAGCTCCGGAAGGCCAACGCGGCAGGCAGGGAAAGGGCTGAAATCTAGCTCGAGCACCTTTGCTGTCATAGTGACCTGCCCTAAGCGAACATGTTCACTCATCTGTAAAGAGGCCTGAGATGCTGTATCCGGAGCAGCAACCCCAGCTCCGGGCTGGGTGACAGACAAGGTCACATGCCTAGGCCCAGCTCGGCGTCCACCTGGAGTGCAGTGGGGAGGAGGAAGCGTAGAGGAAGGGGAGTCAGGCCACCTCACTCCAAATGCTCACTCAGCCCTGTACGCCAGGGACGACAGTCTGTCTGGGTTTCCTCACAGCTAAGTCAGTGCTGGTAACATGAAGGACTTGAGTGAGTCAGTACGTGTAAGCCACGCAGATCAGTACGTATGTCATGTGCAAAACAGGCTTTGGTTAAATAAACCATCCTGGGGGTTCCTTCCAATTATTCTTAGCTTTCTTTAAGGTACTTTTTGTTTAAAGCAACTGGGTCCCACCCCACCCCCCATCCCCTCTCCTTTTTCTTTTGGGCAGATTGAGGATTAAACTCTGGGCCTTTGCCCTGAGTATTTTTTAACAGGGTGGGGATACCCTATTTTAAAAAAGTTTTGAGACAGGGTCTAGCTAAATTGCCCAGGACAGGCTCAAACTTGTCATCCTCCTGCTTCAGCCTCCTAGTTTGGTGGGATTCCATTTGTGTGTAAGGTACCACTGACTGGACTTATTGTATAGTCAAATCTGGTTTCTGTTTATTGAGCATTTTTCAGACTGGTAGATGTAGAGTTTTAGACAGGTACAAAGTCTCAAGATACAGAAGCCTCTATCTCTTGTAGCTTATCTACTGTCACGCTCCTTCAGGATGTGGTATAAACATTTCCTGATATCTAGGATTAAATCCTTAACTGGCACAATTATCTGGTTCTTCTGAAACAGCGTGATTCAGATAGGGTTATTGTTCTAGTTTTATCTGATACATTTATGGGAGAAAAAAACACTGTACAATTCAGACACAAAGCCCAGTTTGAAAACATCAATAGTATCTTGAATTTTCAGCTACATACCTGACAGTCATCCACATCTACTTCAAGGAACACCACGTTGGAATATTTTTCAGACAGGGACTGGAAAATTTAAAATGAAAAATTTAAAAAGATTTAGAACCGGTAAGGCAATCAATACAGTCATGCTTCTTCAATGGAAAACTAGGGGCCAAATAAGTATAAGGAACATACATTTCCCTTCAAATCAAATCCTTCCTAGTGCAAAATAACTTGGCACACTGTGAGTACCAAATTTCAAACTGAGTGTTATTTCAACTTGAAAAAAGGTAAAATTAACTAAGATGAAGGAAATGAACTTCTGAAAGTTGTCTTCAATGGGCTCCATGTATCATGTCTACATTACATGTTACTTTCAACCAATGATCCAACAAAAACCCCAAACCGTCCTTTTCTCTGAAATTTTTTATTTTATGACTGACAACCCCCAAATCACGAATCTCTTACGTACATGAAAGAAAGGCTTGATCATTTTGCAAGGCCCACACCATGTGGCTGAGAAATCAACTACTACAAGTTTATCTCCTGCATCATTCAAGGCTTCTTGAAAGGCCTCCTAAAAAGGACAAAAGAAAACCTTACGTTAAATACAGTAGTACATTTCCAAGAGCCTTGAGGACTCAATAATGTGCCATAAAACATGAGCTAGGTCTTGATTCCAGAACCTATTTTTACCAAAAAATTCTCAGACAAGGCAAATAAATTAGATTTGAAGGAATTGGTAATTATATTTGATAAGATGAAACAAGATACATGTAAATTGTACTGAGAGTCACATTTTCACGAGTGTCTTATAAAATGGTATGAGTTCCCTAAATTATATTAAAATGAAGCAAGCGAAAGGAAAATAACAATTGGTATTTATACTGAAAATGCTTCTGTATCAATCGTAGGTTTATGGTAGACACTAGGTTCATATGGATTGATGGAGGAGGAGTCATTAAAATTGAGAGAAAGTCACAGACACTTTAGCAAAGGAAAAACTAACACTTGAAATATTCGATTGCTTCCACCACTCCAAAAAAAAAGTTCGGAAGACAAAAACCGCTAACATTCAGATATCACACTGGCATAAGCATAGTCCTGGGTTGAGATCACACAGCTTACTCACCTTTGACTTTTGCCCTTTGGCTCGAAACTATGCCCTCACTGTTGATGGAATGAACCACAGTATAAGCTCTTTGTGAAGGAAATTTCTACACATATTATTTTGCATACAGCCTACATATTAAATGAAATTCCCATCAGAACTGATGGAGAAATCCCTTACCACCAAACCCCTGAATTATTTACCAATGGTCTAGATACTGTAACCATAGAGAACCTAACAATCAAGTTACAAGAAATACACTTTAAGCACAATTAGTCAGTCAGTGGTGATTAAAGCCTAAACAAACAACAAAGATAAAAACACTAATATTTATATCTGAAGTCTATGATTTCTCTCAGGCAAAATGTCGGGCAAATTGCTTTAACTAAAACTGACACTTCCTCCTACCTTACAAGTTAAGAATCATGTTAGACCTGGCCCAGTAAAGGAAAATAAATAAATAAAACACCATGAAGTTAAAATACAAACACACTAAAACCAAAAACTAATGTGAGTTCTCATGGAGTAGTTACTTCTTTGGGGTTTTTTAATTTGCACCTCATATTTTGGAGAAAACAATGGACAGGTGGTATTTTTAAGAATGATACAAAATGGTATGAAAGATCTTGTTTCAATTTTTGATTATTTTGAGGTAGTCTCTCCATGCAGCCCAGGACTGAACTCAGTGATCCTCCTGCCTCAGCCTCTTGTGAGTGTACGAATTACCACCATGTCAAGATCTCTGTAATTTTTTCAGTTATACAGATACACAAATTCCCCACCTTTGTGCATGGAGATGGGTTGAGGGGTGGGGAGGGATTGGGATCAGTCGAAAACAAGTCAGATGTATGGATGTTATTTTTCCAACCACTACTGATTATGCTGGATGAATCTGAAAGTTTTCCCTTTTTGAAGGTCTATTTGTTCTATACTATAAATTTCAAGTAAGATGGTAGAAAAGCTGAACATGTTCTTTTTATGAACATGGCTGATCCTTAATAAAAACTTGCAGGGATTAACTTTTAAGATTAAAAAAAAAAGAATACTTTTCCTTTTTATTTATTTCTTGAAACAGGGCTTACTACATAGCTCAGGTTGATCTTGACTCACTATGTAGCCAAGACAGGCCTCGAATGGCAATCTTCCTGCTTCAGCCTCCTGAGTGCTGGGATTATAGGCATGTACCAACACGCCCAGTTAAACAACAGTATTTCAAACACCCTCAGTTTCTTAAAAACAGTTTTAAATCATATTCAGACAAAACTACCTGAAATTCTGAAAGCAACAGTAACTTTTAGCTCAGTTAGTGAAAGCCATGTGTGCAGATTACACTACACACACACATTTTCTTATGATCCTTAGTTTGCCTACAATATTTGTGGAAATAATATTTGTAGGTATTAGCTTGAAAATCATTCAAGGCTACCTTACTATGAGACCAATCACAGCTGGGCATAGTTGCACAGGCCTGAGGCAGGAGGATTCCAAATCCAAACCCAGTTTGAGCAACTTAGCAAGACCCTGCTTCAAATTACAAAGGAGGGGATGGGGCAAGGAAGCACTGGGGATGTGGTTCTGTGCAAAGGCCCTGAGTTCAATCTCAGTTGCAGGAGAAAAATTTTTAAAAAGCAAGAAGCCAATTATAATGTGTGGCTCCTAGAAACAGTATTGATAAAACATCCTTATTACTAACATAATTTGGAAATAAAACACAGCTAGGGTGAATAAAAGGAGCAACAACTCTTTCTAAACATATTCAACTCAAGGGTTATAATGACCCTGAGTTATCATTTAGCCAAGTGTCAGGCATGCATTAAGTGGTAGCTGTAGTTGTCATTCTTAAAAAAAAAAAAAAAAAAAGTAACTCAACTGTTGATTTCTTTCTATCACATTTACAGTTCACTATGCTACTCAAATCTGGAGCAGATGGCAGGATAACCCCAAACCACCCAAGCAGTGCTTCGAAGACTTGTTTCAGATGCCCAGTGATACCAACTTTGTCCTTCAGGATGAAAATTTAAGGTATATCTAATATTTACAGACAGTTAACTTCATTGGTGACTCTGGATCACACTAACTTAATACCGCCCAGGGCCTCAGGGCTCAAGGTGTGGTACTGTTTTGAGTATCGAATTTTCTATCTCTCTTGCACACCAGTCTTAGTGGAGAAGGGAGGAAGTGTCCTAACTGTTAACTCACACAGGGAAATGTGCTCTAGGAACTAAACCAAATTCCTGTTTGCAGTGGATGTACCTTGAGCAAACTAGGCCACTCAGAGGTCTTCTGGCTCCTTCCCTGGGTTTTCCCCTGCAGCATTAGTAGGATGAGGTTGTGTGACACTGAAGAACAGAGAACCCCACCCTCCTCGTCTTCCCCAGGCCCAAAAATTATCAAACGTATCTTTGCAACAATGAGATGGCTATTTTAACGTATATACTCACACAATTAAAGGACAAAATCCAGTAAGAAAAACGAGTAAAGACAAGAAAACAGATGGCAAAAAAAACCTGAGTAATAAAGTAACAAAAGGATCTGTTAAGTACCACTACAGACAGTGCAACATTATCTCTGTTTCTGAGCCCAATCCAGCACCAAATTTGCTCAAGAATGTGAGCAGGGTGGACAGTGTCTCCAAATGCGAGGGGCCTTTATCCATCAATTTCCCCCCAACTCACATGCTGCCTCTTCTCTGAACAAACATTTCCTAAGTGGCTGCAGTACAGCAGGCACTGTCCGCCAATCTTCACGGTGTTAGGCTTACAGAAAGTTTCAAAACCGGGTACACTTTTTTTTTCCCTTGGGTATTTCTAAAAGGACGGAACCACGGGCTGGGTACTCACAGGCCGATCAGCACCCAGTCCCACGCGGCTGCACCCAGTCCCACGCGGCTACACCCAGCGGGAACCCTGGCTCCCACAAAACCTACTGATTTGATGAATCACGAGTGGGCAGGGCTACAGAGGCCCCTGGGCCCAGCCTTGAGTCATGCCAAAGCCAGCGCCGCCGGAAACACGCTCTGCACCACAGGAGGAGTCGTCGGGGCGGCGCGGCCTGGATCCCCTCACTTCCTCGCTGCCACCTGGGGCGCGCGCCACAGGGTCTCTAGCCGTGGTCCGCTCCAGGACAGACCCAGCACGGATCGCCTCAGGCCCGCACAGGCCGAAGCAGCTGGGACTCTCTAGGCCCAGACCTGCGCCCCAGCCCTCTAGGGTAGAGCGCACTAAGCGATTGGCAGTGGCAGCCAGTGACCCCGCACCTCCTTCCCTGGCGCTCAGGCTTTTAGTCCGGGTCCGAAACCAGATACATAGGGGTCATGGGCGGACCCTCTTCAATCCTCCACCTTTCACCGGTCGGGGTTACCAGCGCGGACCGTGGTGCATGAGTGTGGTGTGGGGAACCCGCCTTCCCCGCACGCGTGCATCCGCGGGGCGCACTGGGCGCGGGCAGCGCTGGCCACCACGACCCCGCCCTCCACGGAGCCTCCCCTCCCTAGGCAGAGCTCCAGAGCCTCGGACGCGTCTAGGCCCGGGTCTGTCTCAGTCCCAGACCAAGCCCCGGCGTCCCCTGTCCGGCGCGTCACCTTCCCCCGTTCCGGAGGGTGCGCGTATCGTCCTGGCTTTCCCAAGAAGCACTTACTTTGCTTTCAATCTGCTGCACCATTTTGGCTGCTGAGGGCCTGACGAGCTACTGGAAGCAAGGGAGAAAAGCAGATGGAAGGCGCTGGACGTAGCTCAGAGCCAGCGCGCAGCCCGCCTTCCCTTTATAGTGATGGGGCGGGGCAAGGCGGCGGGTGCGCGCGCGTGAGTGGGGCGGGAGCGCGTCCGCTCAGGCCTCCCGCGCTCCCTTGGCTACGGCGGCCAGGCCCCGCCCCCGAGCGGCCGAGCCGGCTTACTGCGGGGCGGGGCTTTGAGTGGGCGGGGCTTACTCGCTAGGAATGATCTGTGGGTACAGCGGGGCGTTCTTAAGAGCACTAGTATTGTGCACAGTGGCTGGAGGCGTGTGACCACCCAGAGCCACAGGACCACATCTTGGGTCACTTGGGGAATGCGTCAGCCAGGCCTTGGCCGGAAACGCCCAGGCTCGAGACGGGGACACTCCTAAGAACGCTCCAGGCAAGGCTGGATTTCTCGGAAAGACCGGCCTACCGCCGGCTGCATAGCATCTTGCACCGAGCACCTTGCAAAGTGCTGAGTAACGGTGACTAGGAAGTAACCGTGCACACCCTCACCTCCTTTCCGGATTTTACCGCTACAGCTCTCTTCTGCCTTCCCTTCCCCTATTCTTTGACTTTCACGGGTGAACCCGCAGCTCCACAGTGACACAGCAGTTTAACGCAGTGTGGTCCAGATGGCTGGGAGACTGACTGGGCTCTAGACCCAGGACAACTGGTTGTGAGATGTAAGTGTGGCCGGAGAGAATTCTGCAACAAGAGTCACACAGGTGTGATCCTGATCATGCCTTGATCTGCCCGGGTCTGTTATTCCCTTTTGTAAACAGGTGGTGGCATTTTGAGGCATAAGCATTTATAAAGTAATTGGGATCGTGCTTGGCACATAGTAGCCACTCAATATATTGAAATTATTGCAATTTTAAGCAGTTGTGGGTACTGATTAGGCTTGTTTAGTGCCATGAGGGGCTTGGCTGAAATAGTAGCAGTGCACACATTTGCGAAAGTGTTTTCAATCCTGGGAGATGCCTGCAACAGTTTGTTTTGCAGGCTGGGGCTGAATGACTGGGAGCTGAGGTAGGTACGCTGGCTGGCTCTGTGTAGCTGGGAGTCCCTGTCATCGGCTGGATGATCTGGGACAGGAGGTCGTAGGTCTGCATTTTCTGAGCAGCTCTGGTTGGAGCTACAGCTGGGTGTCCCTGGCTGGCCTACCAAAACTGCCTCAGGCTATCTCTAGAACCGTTGATGTGGAGGACATTACAAGTGCAAGGAGTAAGCAAGTGGGAGGTCACAGTCAGGACTCTGCAAATAGACTTCCTTATCCTCATTCACACTTCACTGGGTAACTCTAGGCCAGCCTAAGCAGCCTTTTGGGCCTCGGTTTCCTCATCTGTAAAATGAAGATAATAATACTGTATGCTATTACAAGGATTGAGTGAGCTCCAATACTGCCTTTATGAAGTTCTTGCAGCTGTTTCTAGTGGGGGAAGTGAGTACCACATGAACTGTGAAGGAAGGTGAAGTCTGGAGTGATGGCAGAGCTAGGGTGCAAGGGAGGACTGTATAACAGGTGTGAGTGTGAAATAAATTCACTAATCAGGACATTTGTAATGAACAATGAGCTCTGAAACATGAGTCTCAGAGAAAAGGGGCAGAGAAGTGGACAGGGTGTTGTCCCAAGAAGAAGAAGAAACAAGGTCCCCTGCCTACGGGGACAGGGGAGGCTATCTTGGGGATTTCAGTTGTAGGAGGGAGGTGACAGTCCATGAAAATATGAGGTGCACAGAATTGTTTGCCACAGTCCAGAGTGGGAGAACCTACTTGTGAGCAAAGTACAAAGTCAAGAGGAAGAGAGAGAAGGGGATAGGCCTTTATTTGAAGTATCAACAGGATGTTTTAGGCAGAACTGTCAGTTGCAAGGATGTCTAGCATTAACCCGAGAGAAAATTGGGAATTCATATTTCCCAGAGCTGTAGGAAGCTAAATCTGTTACACAAGACCATCTGGGTTGTTTCACTCTTGGGCAGGCTGTTTACCTAACCCCAAAGTGGCCCATGAGTCCCCAGGCTTAGATCCCTGTGGTTGGACATCTCTGCAGGAAGTGTCCATCTCCCTTGCTCTTGTAAGTGTCCCAGAAGCTGGCCTTCATTGACTTATTGAGGGCATTGGGAATAGCCTTGATTGAAGCATTGGATTAGGAGTAAGGAAAATCCAGGAAGCTATAGAAAAGGGGGAGTTGGACGGTGGAAGAGTAAGAAGATATTTTCATGTCAAGAAGAGCAGAAGAAAATAGCAGAAGTAATGATGCTTTAGGTTTCTGGGTTAGCTCAGTCTGAGGCTCCATGTGGGACTGGAGAACCAGGTCAGCTGTCTGTTTGGGTTTCACCCCGGATTTGAAGAAAATGCAATCTCAGTGCATCTGAAGCAAGTTTTTCACAGGTCCCAGATTTCTTTGATCATTTAACTCAATCCAGCTGTGGTTCTGCAGAGTTCTAGACCATATCCAGACAGACATGGGGAAATCAGTCTTTTGAGGTAGTCTTGGGACCTGCATTTAAAAACACCCCAAGCAATTAGGTACACTTAAGATTTGATAAACCTTGACCTACGATCTTCAAAGAGAGGCCAGCATGGTTAAACTGAAAGACTGCTTAGCAAGAGAGTTGAAACGAGAACACAAGAGAACTTATTGACATAAAAAAGTTCATAGCATTGTGATAAGGAAAATGGTTGAAGGAAAAGTAACAAATAAATACATGAACTTTCAGGAACGCCAGGCCCAGAGCTGGGTGTGATTCATTCCTCAGCGTCCCTTAGGAGATGGATTCTGCTCTCTCCATTTTACAGAGAAGGAAATGAATCAGAATGTCATCTGGGTAGTCTAAAAGCTCACTTACTCTTCACTCTCATCGCAAAGACAAGGAAGGGCCAGCACAATTTTAAGCATATCCACAAATCATGGTGACATCATTTTTGCCAGTGAAAGAATATTTAATATACCTTACACTGATGCACATATTTTAGAGACTATTATTTTGAATGTGGTTTGGATTTCAAAACCAAATTTATCTATAGATGAATGTCACACATTTAATGCCAAGCATTCTCAGACAAGTTTCAGATTATATAATAACCTCTGTGAATAATCTGTCTTCCATACCACTGCTTGCTGTCTTCCCAAATATGGCCATTTTTGCCACTAAAACACTTCCACTAAAATACTTGAACTGTGCCCCTCAGAAACATCTAGCTTCAGTAACCACCACATATTCTTCTCAGATTTTTTTTCTTTTTTTGCTTTTGAGACAGGAGATTGTTATGTAATTCAGGCTGGACTTGAACTCACTATGTAGCCAAGGTAGCCTCAAAATCATGGCGATGCTCCTGCCTCAGCCTCCTGAGTGCCTGGCCTTTTTCTCAGATATTTCTTTTCCTTAAAGTTTTACTCTTCTAATAAGTACCTGCTGCACAAGCGTGAGGTTGTGAGTTTAATCCCTCATTCCAAAACAAAAACCAAAACAAAAAGAAGTTTTACCCTTCTAGATGCATATTGTTGGTTGTATGATATATAATGCTTCATGTATACCGGGGCCAGGATGTCAGGAAGTGCTTTCCTTCACTGCCTCCAGACTCTCTCCTTCAAAAATCCTGTGGACTTTGGGGTTAAAAATTCTTTTTCAGTGCCAGGGAGAGGGCAAAGTAGAACTTGATGCATATCACATGGCATACAGTAAAATTACTCAACATTTGGTGTACAACTTGTTGACATTGGAGATAATCTTTGCCACTTTGGAGCAGGCATATATATATATATATATTAGGCAGGATACAGAAATCACTAACTATAGAAGAAAAAAATCAGTTTAATTTTATCTTGCCTCAAAAAATGATAAGTATCTGAGATGATGCATGTTAATTTGATTTGGCCATTCCACAGTGTGTACATGTACATACATATGTGTGTATGTATATGTGATACATACATGAAAATGTCATGTTACAGCAGAGCATGGTGATGTACACCTGTAATCTCAGCTACTTGGGAGGCTGACACAGGAGGAGTTCAAGGCCAGCCTGGGCAACCTAGCAAGATAGTATCTTCAAATTAAAATGAAAAGGACAGAATATATGGCTCAGTGCTCCCTTTGTTCAATCTCCAGTGTTGGAAAACAAAAAACATCATGTTGCACACCATAAATATGTGCTAAAAATAAAACAACAACAAAACCTAAACATGACATAAACTCAGCAGTCCTGCAGAGCTATAAAAGGATGTATGTATATTTTGTTGAGATATTGTCAGCTACAGAAAATAAAACTAAAGGAAAATAAGTCAACTAGAACTGAAAACCCTAAATGTCACACACTGGAAGAAAATCTTCTTCACACATACATCTAACAAAGGACTTTAACCCAGAATGCATACAGAACTCTTCTAACTCAATAATAATCAACAAGTATAAACACAGCAATAGATTCAAACACACATTTTTAAGAAGATATATACATGACCAGTTAGCACATGAAGCAGATAGATGCCCAACATCAAGTCATAAGAGAAATTAAAACCACTTCGAGATGCATTATAAAACCTATACCATTAGAACAATGAATTAAAAACAAAATATAAAAAACACCAAATTTTGACAATTGTGGATTAACTGGAAATAAATCACGCACTACTGGAAAGAACGTGAAATTATATAACCACTTTGGAAAACAATTTTGTAAGAGCTTTTTCTTTTTTAAAAATGAAGTTAAACATGCCTTTATTATGTGACCCACTAATTTCACTGCTAGCTACCTGCCCGAAAGACAGATATACATACTCATACATGAATTGCACATGAATATTCATAGCAGCTTTATTTATAATAAAGGCCCAAACTAATAACAACCAAAATATCATCAATAAGTGAAATAATAGTGTGATATTTCTATACAACAGACTAGTTGGTTTATTCAACACTATGATGAATGAATATAAATAATGCTGAACAGAAGAAGCCAGATGTTAAAGATTGTAGAAATCTGTTTATAAGGAGCTCTAGAAAAGATAAATCCATAGCAACAAAGAAGAAATTCCTGGTGCTAGGACTGGAGGGTTGCAGAGAGAAATAGGGAAGCATTTTAGTGGTTATCCAGTACATATTCCACAACTAAAGAAAAAATGTTCAAAAATGATTGTATTTTATTTATTCTAGATACAAATTGTGTGCTCAATAAAGCTGGCTTAAAAAGTAAAAAAAAAAAAAATAAAAGTATGTAGTCTCTGAGTGATCATTTTTAGGAATAAGCACCATCCTTGAGGACATCAGGTGCATTTAAAAGGCAACAAGGGAGACAAATTGAAACATTTAGATAATGCTGTATTTGAGTTACACAAGTATAAGGATGGCTACGTGAAAGAGTACATTTAGAAGGAGCAAGCCCTCCCTGCAAGCTGATGCCATATGCAAGCCGCTGAGGGATGAACCAGATGCCAGCCCTTTCTAGCACATGGACTGGGAGATAAGAAGAGCCACACATACCCTGGCCCCCAGCTATAAGTGATCCGCTGATACAGGGAGACACAGGCTGCGATGATAGCTCTTGAGGTAAAATACAATTTAATGCTTATAGTATTGTGTTTCACTGACTTTGCAGACCTAAGCTGGTAGTCTGATCACCTATTCAGGGGATAACAATATGCAATGAAGCATCTATGTGGGATCTCCTTCTTGTTTTGAAG